CGCCTGGTTGTAGGCCACACCCTTTGAGAAACGGGGTGGTCAAGAGTGCTTAGAGGAGGTACTAATATATAGGGACTAGTGCCAGATGGGGTACCAGACTTTGAACTCTCTTTTCTTTTAAAATGTATCTCTACCACTAGAGCTATAAAAGTGATGAAGCAAAACGTGCTGGCATTATTCAAAGCAATTTCTTTGTGAAAGCTTGTGTCCATCTTTCAGTGTTTTTAGCTAATAAGTGGAGTCAGAGTGATTCAATTCTGTATAGAAAGTTAAACAAACCTAAAGGAAGACCCAAAACCTGCTTCAAATGGAGAAGGGACTTCCTAGTTCATTCTGAGGCCATTTTGGGTTTTTCCTGGGCATATGTTTTCCTCAAGAATCACATGGTAGAGGACTGCCTGGTTTATTTTGAAACTCTTCTCCTCCTCCTCCTCCTCTTCCTCCTCCTCCTTTATTTCCCAGTTTGTTGCCATAACTTGAGAAATCTAGGATTTTAATGTAGCTGTGACTGTACAATACGTACGAAAATACAATTATCATAAAAGTTTCCTGTATTCTGCCTGTCAGGCACATTATTTTTATGTGCGGGCTCTGATTTGTTTTTGGGGGGGCCCTTCACCTGTAAAAGAGGAGGGATATTTGCATATTATACAAAGCATATACTATACTGACTTGTGTCTTTTTGTGGGGATGGGGTGGAGGGCTAAAACCACAAACAGTGTACTGGACCATGAAAATCCTGTTGGCTCTCTGTGGCTACCAGTTAGAAAGCATCACTTTTGCCGTTCCCTTCAAAGCACATTATGAGGATTATAATGCCTCCTTGAATACTTGAGAGAGGAAAACCAGATTGGACAGGGTATGAGTTTCTTAAATCATCATAAATTTCCAGTGTTGTGTTTCTTTAAGTGAAATATTAAAGTGCAGTGTTTTGAGGGTGTACCCTTTTTGAGTCCAGAGAGCTCAGTGCTTTTTGTATACATCCTGGATTCTATTGTATGTAGGATTTTTTTTTTAAGTTTCTCTTTGATGTCCTTCAGGAACCTCTCAAGTTACTTGTTTATTCCAAGTCTAAAAATCGTGGTCATGTAGGATAAAAGGACTGCTCTAATTTTAATTCTCTAGGAATACTTTTCTCCTGTTCCTTTTTATTATATCTGTGCATAAAGTGCTACAACAGTGAAAGAAGAGGGACTGGTCCAACACCACAAAAACTGATGGAGCGTAAAAGATGGCAGGGTTTGTTCTGTGGTGAACCTCAGGGTACCAGAACACCTCAAATCAGTGCTTAAGTGCAAATTTGGAGAATTTATCCAGCATCTGTGTGGCAAAACGCAATAAGGTAACTGATTTATTTTTGCCCTTGGGAACAGCAAATAATTTTCCTGGTTATTGTCTGATGGATCTTACGGATCCTACAGACTTCACTTGGAAGATCAAAGTTGTTCATTTGCCTTAGAAGCTGCTTGCTTAATGTAAATATACAAAAAACGGGTACTTTCCCCTGTGATAAAAGTATAGTACTTTGCAAGAGTATATATCAATCAAAAGGTTTGCGATTCCAAAAGTCCTATGGTATACCTTCTCAGACTTTGTCTTCATTTTTGCTCCCAGGAATTTTGTGTTACTTTATGATACAGTACTTGGTTGGATAAGCAAAATATGTTGTCAGATTTTCCCTCTTCCAGAGGCCCTATCTCCAGACGAAAGAAGTTGAAATTTTGAAGCTTTCTGGCTAGCAGGAAGATCTACCCTAAATGACATCACTGACCTGTTTTTCACTGTACAAATGGCATAAAAAAACCTTTCTTCTATCTTGTTACATATTGATCTGTGTGACAAATCTGAAGCTTGCAAAGACATCAGTGTTGACAAAAGCAAAGCCAGATGTCTTCACTTAATGGGGGTTTATTGTATATTAGTCACCATACTTTCTTCCTGTTTCATAGTTCTTAAGGCGGCTGGCTTTCCTGGAATATGAGCTGTGTGAGGCTTTCAGAGAGGGTACAAAAGCCTATACAGAATGTTATGTAGCAGTATAGCTATTACTGAGGCAAAGAGATAAATAAACAATAAGTCGTTGTCCCCACCCGAGCAGAAGCTGAGCTCCACTTACCCGTCTTGCCCACTTACCCTGAACATCAGCAGTCTAGTGCTATGTTGAAATTGCCCAATGGCACAGACTAGGTTAGGTGATTAGGAACCTTGAAATATACTCTGAGTTGAGAGTGGATTTCATGCCCTTTATTCAGCTCATAGTGGTGAGGAGGAGTGAATGTCCCCTTAAAGTATCTGCTTTATATACATTATTTACACAATGGGCTGCACGTGATTGGCTAATTCCGGAATTCTCCTGTAGGCCAATCAGGTTGTGGATTCACTTCCATCTGGAGCCGGATTAGGTGGCTCCTACAGACCAATCATACTGCTGCATTGTTCTAGGACCAATCAAACTGCTGCATTCTGAATCCTATTTTTCTAGGACCAATCAGACTGCTGCATTTTGGATCCTATTGTTCTAAGACCAATCAGCCTGCTGCATTTTGGATCCTATTCACTCTGTAGATAACAAACCTGCTTATCTAACACAGAAATGCAGAGCAGGAAGGGTAGTGTGCTTATCTCTTTTCTCCCTATGGTGTGTGGGGAAGTGTGGGAAAGAGGGCAGGAATCAAAGTCAAGGAATGTGTGCTTCACCACATGCATTCCCAGAACATCCTTTTACTCCTTCTTCCAGGATACTTCTTTTCCCCCCATTATGTTTTCTTAAGTTTCAACATTTTTAACATATACAATCAAAATGCAATTTCATCTTTTCTCTCATTTTTATTGGCTTCCCATCCCATTTTCCATTGAGTTGTTGCTTTTCCCCTTCTGCTGCACCCTATCTTCTATCTGTTGCTTCCAAGATACTTCTAAGCTGTTTCAAGCCCTTTCATAATTTGGAGAGTACTTGGAGGGTGTGATTAGAAGTAACACCCTCCAATCTAAACCTCCCTCCATCCTCTATACCATCAAACTCTTTTTAACTTCAAAGGGATCCCAGGCCTTAAAAGCTCCTACCAACAAACATTGACGGGGTGGGTGGGAATAGGATTAGATGTGTACAGTTTAAAGCTTGTGGGAAATTAGTAGGTGGGAGGAAACAATTACCTTTTCACTTTCCCACCCTCCTGCAGTCTTCCCCTTTTGCTAAAGGGTTCAAGACTGAGCCTCGGTGGTAGTCTGGTGGAGCATAGCCTCTGCATGGGAAAGGTCTCTGTTTTAATACCTACTCAAAGTAGGTATAGGAAAGACCCTCCCTGGAATTTTGGAGAGCTGCTGCTGTTCAGACAATACTGGGCTAGACGGACAATTTACAAACTCATAGGGAAGTCCTCCAAATGTAAAAAACCCCACCTTGTCTGTGTCAAGCTGATAAGTACCACACCAAGTCTGTAGGGGCAGACTTTGGTAATCTTATGTAATATGGCACCCTGTGCGAGACCGAAATCGGGCATCTCCAAATGGGATCTTTTCAATTATGAATATTCTCAATTTTGCACCCTTTGACTCGGCGCCTTATGCTCACACCACTTTTAATTTGGCTCTGAAGTCTGGTATGTTGAGGGGCAAGTGGAGCCTCCAGCAAAAGGTGGTGGTGTCTTCTGCCCCCTTAAAGGAGTGCTTCCATTGCCATTCCCTCGAAACAGAGTGTTCCTCTTTCCTATTCCATACCCTCCAACATTTCTCCGATGAAAATAGGGACGTCCTAAGGAAAAGTGGGACATTCTAGGATCAAATTGGAAACTGGGGCAGCATCTCTAAATCTGGGACTGTTCCTGGACAATAGGCACACTTGGAGGGTCTGTAATATTTAGGGAAGGTGACCAGTGATGGAAGACACTTTTGTAACTCAGTTAATCTTCAGACCATTGGTTGAGGCAGTTTGGAAAGGCATATGTGTGGTTTTGAATGTGTTCAGAGCATGGGTTTCAGTGACTGTGTTGGGGAATTAGGTAGCAATTGTGTGGAATTATTATCTATTGACTGTTAGTGCAGGGAAAATAGAAATTTGCATTTTGAGTAGGAAAACATAGTGTGTGAAGCCCCCACTTAATGTATGACTATAACATCTCTTATGCAAACACACTTCTGCCTCATTGAACTAAAGCCATGTGTAGCAGGATTAGCATTGCTGAACAGGGCCATGGCATTTTTTTCTCTTAAGTAATGAGCAGTAGTCATCCGTCAGTATTCCTGGAAGCGAGAATGAAAACAAGATGTTAAAGTCAATAATGAATCCAGCTCTATATTTTTCACAATGGTGGCTTGAACAGCACGTCAACATTTGCGGAAAACCCTACTCTCCCTTGTGAGCACAACTTGACATAAAATAAGAACTTCTGTACGCTAGAGAATAATCTCACATTTTCCTGTTCCCACCACTTAATAATTTTGCTTGAAAGTACAAGTTATAACAGTAAACTTCCTCAATGTTTTCTGAAATGTATTTTAAATCTCACTAATTTCAGTATTCTCAGTACTGAGTGCAATGACATCTAGTAAGAAATAGTGTGGATATGAAAAGTTGTTTTCTTTATAAAGAAAAGAAAGGGCAACCTACCGGTACTTATTTCTGTGTAGAGATGTGGTTTAGAGTAATTCTGGAAAATAACTGGCATAATTGGTAATGCAATTAAGCATCAAAAGTTCCTTGGAACAATGGAAATGAATGTTGAGTATAAGTAATTGATAATTTAGGCTGATGCTCCAGTGAAAATGGATATTTCAAGACAATCTTGTGGCAAAATCTAGGAGCTCTGAAGGGTTTTTTCAAAATATTGAACTACAGTGGAAGCATGGAAAGCTAATACAAAACACAGCATAAATAACAAGTTGCATTTTCCTGTTAATTTTAATACAACACACTAAACCACAGGATAATGGGACAGTTTGTGGATTTGCCCTGTTGCAATGCTCAGCTTTTGGTGAATGCAGTATTGCCACAATGGTGGATGGGTGGGTGGGCAACATCTAGATTTATTCTTTCTGTGTTCTTCCACTGTAAGCTATGGGCAGGAATACAATTCACTACCTGCACTTCAAGTGGAGTCTAGTGCTGTGTCCATCTCATTTTGTTAGAGCCACACAGTGAATGAGACATTGCTGTGTGGGTGGTCTTTGTCCTCTCCCCTTTCTCCACCGTTCACAACTACCTTATTCCTTTATCTTGCTATTGTAAAGTAGCTGATTTCAGTACTGTATTCTGTGTATGTTTTTGTTTTCGAACCAGTATGGATGCACATCTTTTTTGAAAATATAGATAGGTGTTTGTCAACTGTTCTACTGTTAGTGTAATCACATTTTTTTCAAAGTGCCTAAAAATAGTAGTGATTAAAAAGTGACTAATGCTACAGCGTCTAGGTGACATACAGTACAGTGACTTGTTTGAACAACACAGTAAGCCAAACTATGGTTTACTGAGACCACACAATGTGTGAGCACGCTGCCAGGAGTTCACAGTCACTTGTATCCTCCCTAATCCTATTTGCTTCTGCATCATGCTTAGCTAAACCAACAGCTTCACTATCACCCATGGTTGTGTTTTCGGGCTGACAAGAGTTGTAGTTCAACAACCTGGGCCTTAGCTCAGTTGGTTAGAGCATGGTGCTGATAATGCCAAGGTTGCAGGTTTGATACCCTTATGGGACAACTGCCTATTCCTGCATTGCAGGGGGTTGAACTCAGAGTCCCTTCCAACTCTATAATTCTATGATTCTAACCTCTGGAGAGCACCACATTTGCCATCTCTAGTCTAAAGCCAGGAGAAGTTCATATAAATTTAGGTCTTTTCAAGAAACAGAGAAAATGTGAGAGGGAGGTGGGGAAATATAGTTCAAACACAATGCTGCTTTTAAAAATACATAACTCCAACACTTCAAACTGCAGTATTGTATCACTGTATGAAACTTTATTTTGGTATGATAAATTTGCACCTGTCACCCTGTCATTCTTTTCTTCCTGCTTGTGACAAAGAGGTTCATGATTGCAGAGTACAAGTGTTGTGTGTGTGTGACCATAGCCTTTATGTAGAGAAAGAGACTGCAGGGCTTCTGTGAAGTCTTTTAATTTCTGTATTTCCCCCCCCAAAATGCACTTTTTAAATGAAGTATCTTTCTGGTGCCTTTAAAAGCAAACTAGATTAGTGAAATCTGTAGGTGTAATTGCCAATACTAAACATCTTAAAATACTTTTTGGGTGGGCAGTATAGATTTTATTTCAGTTGCAACTTCAGCACCAAATGCCAGTTTCTTATTTGTGTGTGTATGGTGGGGAAGCCTTGGTTTTGTTCACTCCTTTTCTAGGGCTCAGAACCTTCAGAATTCAAATGGTTTGTTCTTGGTTGTGGTCAGTAAATGGTTGGCTCTCTATGTGCTCCACAGTACTGTCTCTAGCACATGCAGGATGCTATCTGGAAGGCTGAGACCAGGACAGTCCCATCCATGAGACAAACCAAGGCAGCCACCTCAGGCAGCAGAATCCAAGGGGCACCTCTGTGGACACACCCTCTCACTGCCAGAGGAGCAGCTGCGGTAGCTTCCAGATTCTAGCGAGATCTCACGAGAGCCCCATGAGATCCTTCAAGGCCTCTGAAGGCCTCCACATGATTTTGCCAGAAGCCACAGGCATGACCATGGTAAGCGAGGATTCGACAGGGGCAGCAAGGGGATGCAGGCGGCACAGGTTCAGGGCAGCCCGTTCCCATTTCAACTCAGGTTGCAAAATTGGATGGCTGAGGCAGACAGCAGCATTGACACCTACTCCTGAGAAGTCACTGCCACATAATTTGCCAGTGCTTTGCTACCACAGGAAAGACTCCGGAGCCAGCAGCAAACTCTGTCAAAGCCTAGATGTGTCCTAATCTCTGCGAGTGTTGACAGCTTTGATAGCAGGCTCAGGGATTGGTGTGTTACTGGAAAGCCACCACAGGTGGTGGGGCGACATCAAAGAGGTGTTGCCGCAAGGGCTGAGGTGATCAACAATCCTGTTGGACCCTGATGAGAGACAGTGCCTAGGTGACATGGGATAGGGTCCTCCCTCCCCCACCCTTTGCTAGCAGTTTTGGGAAGTTTTCTTGCATTGCTCAGCATGCTCTGAGATCGAAGATTTCTGTTGCAGGGGGGGATTTCTGTAGAGAGCAGTCTTTCTTCCTGACTTGGCATTTGATTTTCTTTGTTTGCTGGAATATAAATTACTGGTTTAATTTTTTTTTTGCTGTTTTGACATATTTCTGAACCCTCCCAGTTTTTCAGAAAGTAGGGAAGTGGCATATACAGTGGTACCTCGGGTTAAGTACTTAATTCGTTCTGGAGTTCCGTTCTTAACCTGAAACTGTTCTTAACCTGAAGCACCACTTTAGCTAATGCGGCCTCCTGCTGCTGCTGTGCTGCCGGAGCCCGATTTCTGTCCTCATCCTGAAGCAAAGTTCTTAACCTGAAGCACTATTCCTGGGTTAGCAGAGTCTGTAACCTGAAGCGTATGTAACCTGAAGCGTATGTAACCCGAGGTACCACTGTAAATGATTTTTGTATGTGTGTGAAATTGGTAACTACTATGGAGGTTTTATGGTTGGTCTGCTAGGTAGCCCCAATTTCACTACTAATAACACCACCTACTTCATAGGGCTGTTAATCTCCTTGGAGGAAAGGAGAGATATAAATGTAGTACAGTACTGTAAATCTATTGCTGTGCACATACTAGTGTCACTTATCTCACATGTCTGCATGAGAACCGTGCATCAGTAGACTGCCGGCCCCTTTGTCTTTGGGTTTAGTCCATGACTTACTGGATATGCCATGTAATATATTTAGCCCCATCTGGATTTCCATCCAATTCTGATGATTAATTTGTAGGTACTGTGTCACCTTGAGTACAGTAGTTTTGGAATTGGCCCAGGAACTTAATGGTATGAGGAATTATAGCTACTGATGTCATTAAAGGCGAGTTTCTTTTAAAGCTGTCACCTCTTTTTTTACATTCCTAGTTAATATATATTGGAGGGGGAAGTGCTATAATTTCCAGATTCTAAGATGGGCAAAAGAAAGACCATAATATAAAATTATAAAACCATAATGTAATGTAAAACCATTCCTAGTAGTGACATTAGCCTGCATGCAGTGCTACATTACTCCATTCAGAAGTGAAATTTGGGGTTGCAGGAAGGACAGCTTATTTCATTTAGAGAGTAGGTCTGACTGTTATCTTGGTGTCTCAGTATGTAAAGTTTTTCTTGTGTTAGGTTAACAGAAAATGATAGACACATTTAGAAAATGTCCCGTTCTCCCCACCCCCCGCCATTTATTTTATTTTAACCATAAGGCACACCAACCGATTATTAGATTGTAAAACAAAAAGAAAGCCCCAACAGCACATGGCCTAGAAGTTTTTTTGGCTGAGATGAGACCTTCTCCCAGCTCTCTTCCAGCTGGGAGAAGACTGCTAAGGAACAGAGCATGTTAAATATTCAAAGGTCTGACCCTGTGGGCTAGTCTGTTCAGTCCCCTTCCTGTGGATTTTCTCTTCCCCGAGATAAATTCTTTTCAAATTCATACTTTCTGTTTTGTGGGGAGAAAGCATAATTTCAGGGGGAAGGACAGGTCAACTTTAAAGAAGCTGAAAGGGGAGCATAATAGAACATATGAGTCAGGAACTTCATTTCCCATTATCACCCCTGCTGACAGAATTCCACTTTCCTAGCAGTTCTGCTTTGAGGGTATGTAGGTTATTTGGAGAAGCAAATATGCATTCAAGTCCTTGAGATAAGAATGCTTTTGCACAGGGAAGGCTATCGGTCTTTTGGACTCTCTAGTTAGAGCTCTAAAAGTCTGGATTAAGAAATTTTGATTCAAGGTAAGATTGGTACTTTTTTGTGAAATCACCCAAGGCTTAGAGGACCAACCTGAATGCAGGAGAGGCAAGCAATTCTACAAATATGACAGTATCAGGACAGATAAAGGATTCTGCCAGACAGTCTTAAAACCATCCCTTTTTGCTTCCATGATTTGTACAGTTTTTCCCCATCGTTCCCCTAACAAATCACTTGTTTGTATTTTAAAGTACTCACAGTTGCATTAACGTTATAGAAATGTTGCACTTTAGTGCTGGCTCTCAAAAATCTGCCTCTGGATTTATAGGCTCCCCCAAAGTGGATGGGCATTGCCATTCAAATGGTGTCCATGTATTGCATCTTGTGATCAATTATGTGGGGTAGGGGTTACTTGGGCCCCCCCAATATTCAAGTTGGCACCCCTGGTGGGAGGATTGGATTAGATACTGCATTGGCTATGCCAAGGCAGCAGAATCCCATGCAAAACCCATTAAAGCAATACCAATTTATAATACAATTATTAATACCAATCTTTCAAATACCAAATTACAGTGGTACCTTGAGTTACAAACGCCTCAGGTTACAAATGCTTCAGGTTACAAACTCCGCTAACCTGGAAGAGTTAAGGCAGAGCGGAACCAGAAGCCCTGATTCAGGAAGAGGTTTGTATGGGAATCTTGCAAAAACAAAAGGTTTTCAGGCAGTCCTGTGTTTTGAAGTTCTGACAATCATGGCTTCAGAGCACAGTATCACTTGATGTCATAGTGATGTCAGGTGAGCAGCCACTCTATGTTTTCCATTGATAGTATTTGGGAGGAGGTGCAGTAAGAGGGCCACAAGACTATGCTTTGCCCTGGATCCCAGGTTACCGCTGGGTAGCCCTGGGCAATACTCATTAGTTATTAATAATACTGGGAACATTTTGGCTAACTTTCCACAACTAGATGCACCAGGAAATATGTGAATGACCTGTGGTATCTGAGCCATTTTGAAGAAAACAGAGCTACTAAAAAGAAAATGGAATGATTCTGAATACAAATTCTGCTTTCTAGTTTCTTAATTCAATATTTCTTGTTTGTAAGATTTCCTCCCCTACCCTGCTTAAAGAACCTTTTGGTCTCTCACCTTCCGTTTACCTTTTGTCTGCTTTCTGGCAGCCACAGTAGTATCTTCTTGCCAGTAGGGTGTGTGAGCACATCTGTTTGAAGCCAACAGCAATATTGGTCTTAGGAGTCTGTTTTCAGGGCCTCTCCCGAAGACTGGACACTTTCCTTTATGTACTGTGGCATTCCGCACACAGTCTTAGTGCCTGGGAACCCCATACTATTCATTTCTGAGAGAGGCTATAAAAACAAAATTTGTGCCTGGATTTGTATTGGCTTGTTTTTTTGCATGAGGGGTTAAATTCCAGTTTTGCACGCCAAGCTTTTCCATGCTGCTGTTCATCCGAGACACAAAGAGAATACCAAGAGACAAAACAGGATGAAACTCGAGTAAACAACATAAATGTCAATAAAGGTTTGGAATGCTGAAAGTGAATTGCTAGTTGTTCTTGACATAGCTAAAACATATAAAAGAATCTGAAAATGTGAGGTCTTGGTGTGTCATATGGAAAACTACAGCAGTCAATTGCTTTTACACTGTTTCTCAAACAAACGTGAGGATCTGAGACTCAGCTTGGATGGGAGAAAGACACATGGTAATATGTTCAAGGTCTGGCACCATCACATCAGGCGCACACAATTGAATTCAATTGGCCTTTATTTCTCCTGGATGTATCGGGTTTGTATATGTAGGGGGTACTTTGGCTGTATCTCATACACTTAGTAAGGCAGAATATGTATGTGATGCACACCTGTTTTGCTTCTCCCTTTGGACCAGTGGTCAATAACTTCCAGATAATATAACCATTTAAACATGAGTAAAACTACTTTTGAGCCTAGTTTAATTCAGGGGTTGGCAAGGTTTACCTCGCCTGGGCCGGTTCACGCCAGCGGAGATCCCTCTGTGGGCCGGGTTTCCAGCATCTGCGTCAGCATAGACGCGATTTCCAGCACCATGGAAGCGAGTCCCCGCGCCACACTGTGCTGATTTAGCGCAGTGCGTGGGGACTCACCGAGCGGGCGACTCGGTTCAAGGGCGGCTTGTGGGCCAGTTAAATGACCCCCATGAGCCGCTTGTGGCCCATGGGCCTTAGGTTGCCTACCCCTGGTTTAATTCATAAATGTGATGTCTTACGGGCTCATAACTTGGCATTCTCAATCTCAAGATTAAAAGGCATTGAACAATCTTATAAAGAGCATTGGGTGTTATTTGCAAAAAGGCTAGACAGTGCTATGTGCAAGACTAAATTGCAGCTCTGCATTGAATTGGCACATTGCATCAGATTGTTTCTATACTTCTGCTTATAATAATTAGAGTCATAGGCACCCCTTAACGAATAATCAAGCATAGTCTGAAACGGGCGAGGGGGGGGGAGCTAATCCCACCCTCCCTTAATAGCCTCTTTAATGATTCACAAGAATGCCAAGATAAAACGAGCACAATGTGATAAATTAGCAATAATCTAGAATTTTCTGCTTGGGGGTGTTGATATAAGCGAACATCTTTTCCCAGCCAATTACACAATACATTAGAGGTAACTCTACAAAAACATAATTTTGTCACAAAATCAGTAAGTCAGTATGGTACATTGTTGGATTTGGGATTAAATATCCAAATTACACTGAAGTAATGAATTCACTCAGTGTCCTTATCCTTCTGAAATATGTTTATTTCTCAGCTTGCTTTCTTGACATCAGTAGAATTTGGAAGTACCATGGGAATCCAAGTGTTACCTATATGTGGCAATAACTGTGTGTTTGGCAACTGTGCTGTGTGTGGTTTTTTTTAAATCAAATACAAGGTGCATGGATTATGAGGATTCCAGTTTGCAGGAAGGGAATGTTTTTTTTTTTTTTTCCTGTATCTGAGCTCCTTTGCTGGAGCCAGTTTTATTTTTTTTTTTTAAATCATATTTATTAAAGTTTCCAAAAATATAAAAATACAAAGAAAAAAAGAAAAAGAAAAAAAGATATTTAAAAACCTTACTTTCATTGCCTACTTTCTGGGACTCCCCCCCTCCCCCCCCGACTGTATTCCCCTTTCCTTAATTTAGTTCTACAAGCTCTCACTCCCAATTTGAAGCTTAATTTGTTTAACCCACTATCCAAATTGAATTGTACAAATCTTACCACCGTCCCACATCATTAACAAGAAAAGAAAAAGATTTTCCCAAGATCCACCCCAGTTCCTTCCACGAATTCCCTTTTTTAAACACGTCCAATCAAAATAAAATGACATGCGTAAGTTATGTAAAAAATAAAAAATAAAAGATATAGAAAAATTCAAAAGATGGTTACACAGCCTTTGGATTTCAAATCTCCCCCCCCCCTTCCCCGGTTTGGATTCCCCATATCCATCAGTCTGTGCATTATCAGCTTGGAAGTCTCAATTAATGACCAAATTTCTCCCGATTCCATCTTGCCGGTTTTCTTTTAATTTATTAATAATATGTAACTTCAAGTGTCCAATCTAACAAAGGCCTTTAATTTCCTTGATCTTTACCACTCCTCCCGTTGTTCTTTCCGTGTCGTAATCAGTCCTTTGTTCTTCTTTTCCTCACTTTCTCAGGTTTCTTGTCCTGTTCAGCTGCTAAAACTTTCTAATTCAGAAATCTGGTATCTCTGCAGAGGTTTGTTATTCAGGAACAAAAACTTACGTCCAGTCCCTTCCTTTCTTCAATAGAAAATTCTATTGTCTCCTTTAATGTAAATACCTCTGTAGACAAAATACTATTTCAGTTTTGCAGCTTTCCCAAAAGATAACAAGTCCTGTGCGAATCCCAGAGTATTTTTCCACTTACGACCGTTCTTGTAATATCCCGAAACCCCTCTAGGGGATTGTAATAACTTTGTATCCTCTAATCCAAAAGTCAAATTGTTGCTTATTTTCCAACAGTTTATATCCATATTGTAGCAAATTGTAGCAAAATTAACCGGCAAAGTCCTCATAACAAAGTCCTCTTTATATTCTCCAACTTTGACAGCCACTTTGACAGCTGTCAAAGTCTCCGTCTCTCTTCACCAGGCTCCACGAATCGCCCCGGTTCCCAGGGGGGGGGGTTGCATTTTTCTTCTCACCCTCCACTCTTCTCCTCCAGCACAGTTCTTATAATTTCCCATCGTGAAATTAATGGTTTTTATCAAGAATATACTTCCCTTTGGACCTTGGTTACCCAGTCCTTGTTTTGGAATGCTTACAGTAGGGGGATTGACTTCCTTTTAAATCGCCCCGCTCGTGCCAAATCCGAAATTTTGAACCCGGTTTCCCAATTACTCACGGGTTGTTGTTAATAGTCCAAATTTTCAATGGAAGAAGTCAGCGCTCTCCGTCGAATGGCATGCGGCTGCGCTCGGCAGGGAAAGCAGAAGACTCAAAGCACCACGCCGCTCCCCGGCACCCGATCCGAAGCCTTTAAAAAGGCTCCTTCACGAGTCGGGAGGGCGCTAATGGTGCAAGCCGAGTCACCCATGTCCACGGACTCCGTGCCCGTGGTTTTTAAGGGTCCCCGCGTCGCCGGCGCGGTAGGACCCAGCCCCTGCCGAGCAGACTCCCTCCGGAGCTCGGAGGGAGTCCGCCATTCGGCGATGGCGCCAACCCGGAAGTCTCTGCAGGAAGGGAATGTTTTAAGCCTTCATTGCCCACCTGCATTCTCTGTAATACACAGAGCTCTCAAGACTGCACAGTACTGACATTGCCTGCTGACATTAACAATAAGAATATGCCATAAAGCCTAATCTAAACATATAGATCAATATAAGCTGTCCATATGCCCAAATAGGTATCTAAACAAGACAGTTTTAAGTCATGCAGTCAAATATAGAAAGGGCATTGAGATCTTCAGACCATTGAGCAGTGAATTGTGGATTTCCCCCCCTTCCATGCTGGCTGGGGATGATGTGGGAGTTGCAATCCAAAACAACTGTGTGGCACTAGGTTGGTGAAGGTTGATGTCCTTCGGCCACGCTAGCTGATGTGCTAAATTAAATGCGGCCAAGATGGCTGGAAGATTACATCATCTTTTTGTAATCACACTGCTCTTTTTCAGCAGATAGCCAAGCATGGCTTGATTTGTTTTTATCTTTGCTGTCAATTTATTTACCCAAGTTGGATGTAAATTTGCAGAAAGATTATTCTGTGAGTAAAGGCGTATAGGTATCATTCCTTGTCCCTCTATATCCTAAGGTCTGTCTTAAGCAATCAAAGGCTCTGAAGCGTGTGGTGGTTTCTTGAAAAGAGGAGCGCACTATGTAGGAGCTGAGTCCCTTTGGTCCTTCCTACTGCTTAAGTGGCGGAAGCTCTGCAATACAGTGGTACCTCTGGTTACATACTTAATTCGTTCCGGAGGTCCGTTCTCAACCTGAAACTGTTCTTAACCTGAAGCACCACTTTAGCTAATGGGACCTCCCACTGCCGCTGCACCACCACCGTGCGACTTCTGTTCTCATTCTGAAGCAAAGTTCTTAACCCGAGGTACTATTTCTGGGTTAGTGGAGTCTGTAACCTGAAGCGTATGTAACCCAAGGTACCACTGTATAACAAATGGCTTGCATATAGTTTCAAATGGGTAAGTCATGACTTCCCCCCTCCCCTCAACAATCCTTTGTTGTGGAGATAAATTATGAGACTTGGATTCAAAGTCTTGACCCGGCTGGTGCTCTCCAGGTGTTTTTGATGACAACTCTCATCTGATGGGAATTGTATTCCAAAACCACTGGAGGGCATTACATTGACAAAGGCTGCTTCAAACGGTGTTGGGATAAGGGAAGGGAAAGAATGCCCAGGCCCCATGTTTCCTGTAATGGGTAGAAAAAACAGTGGGCAACATAACTGGGGAAATGACACTTGGAGTTTACTTATAGAAGGACGGGGGAGTAACTCATGCACTTTGGCAAGGCTTTAAACAGGTACAGAAGGGGGCAGATGGAGTCCAATACAGTGGTGCCTCGCAAGACGAAATTAATTCGTTCCGCGAGTTTTTTCGTCTAGCGAATTTTTTGTCTTGTGAAGCACGAAATCCCATAGGAATGCATTGAAATTCAATTAATGCGTTCCTATGGTCAAAAAAAGTCCAAACAAAGCCAAATTTGGTACAACAAGAGTTTATTAAGTGCTCTTTAAAGTGCTCTTTACACATACTGTAAAGAGCATTTCAAAAATTGAAGGAACAATAAATTAAGTTTCTAAACATGACAGAAAAACATTTAAAAATCAACAAAGTGTACAGTACATTTTCTAAGACTCTGGGGGACAACTCGAAGAAGGTTCCTCTTCCACTCTTTGCTTTTTGCTGAAGAACCCCCTCCTCAACTGTTCCCCCAGCCACCCACCACACAGAAATTCAAATCCAGAATTTTTTTTAAAAAACAGCAGAGTGGCCCAATGGTCACAGAAAATCATAAAAATGCAGAAAAAAACCACACAAGCTTCCAGATTCTTGCAAACCCCTCCTCAACTGTTCCCCCAGCCATCCACCACACAGAAATTAAAATCCAGATTTTTTTTTTAAAAAAAACAGCAGTGGCCCAATGGTCACAGAAAATCATAAAAATTCAGAAAAAAACCACACAAGCTTCCAGATTCTTGCAAACCCCTCCTCAACTGTTCCCCCAGCCACCCACCACACAGAAATTCAAATCCAGAATTTTTTTAAAAAAATAGCAGAGTGGCCCAATGGTCACAGAAAATCATAAAAATTCAGAAAAAAACCACACAAGCTTCCAGATTCTTGCAAACCCCTCCCCAACACCAAGTCCTTGAATTCCAAACACCCCAACCCAAAATCCAAAAACCCCCAAAAAGTTTTAAAAGTTTAAAAGAAGTTTTGGAAAAGCTTCAAAAATCACCAAAGTCTTCAAAAACCTCAAAAAAGGCTACCACACCGCGTTCTATGAGTTGCTCCTCGAAGTCAAGTCGCAACTGTATTAATGGTGTTAAGAAAAAGGAAACAAACTTGCAAGACGTTTTCGTTTTTCGTCTTGCGAAGCAAGCCCATAGGGAAATTCATCTTGCGAAGCAGCTCAAAAAACGGAAAACCCTTTCGTCTAGCGAGTTTTTCGTCTTGCGAGGCATTTGTCTTGCGGGGCACCACTGTAAATGACTTCTTCACAGGTTAGCTCATAGGCTCATAGAGTTGGAAGGGACCACGGGGGTCATCTAATCCAACCCCCTGCAATGGAGAGTTGTCTCTTACTGCACAGCCTGGGCTCACATGCTGCTGTAGACTCCCGTCTCCATCACACCTTTGGCTGTGGAGTTGCAGCTGGATGACTTCTACATGGGGACAGAAAGCTGCTGTTCTCCTTATGCTCTTCTGGGCAGGTGTGTATGTGTGTGTTTGTTTTTATTCACAACCCCTCTTCTCCCAAATTCCTTTTCTGCTCTCATATCTTCAGTTTGGAATCTCTCTGGTGGATTCTCCTCTGAAAAGCTCTAATGCAATCTCTTTGGAGAAATCCTTTGTTGCCTATAGCAGCGGTTAAGATCTCCACCCCCTAAAAATGATTGTGCTCCAGGCATCCTACAGAGAGTTCCACTGCACAGAATTACACCAGTATTTCTGAATTTACAGCCTCTGCTGTAAAACATTTTCAGCAGTAGAGTGTGAAAGTCCTCTTAGACCTTTATTTGACTATGCAGTCTGATTCTATATAAGGCCTTTCCTGTTATACCTTCCTATAGAACTTGTTTATGCAGGTGTTCTATACATAAATACAGCTTAAATAACCTACAAAGTGGTCCACCTAAAGCTGGAATTCTCACTTGCAGACATCTTCCAGCAGATGACTTTTCTGGTGGGAAGATACAAAACTTTATAATGAGGAAACCAGCTCATTTCATAGGGTTATCCATGAAAGAAATCTCTCCCATTTTTGTGTCCAAAAAACTGTCACACCAACCATGGTAATGTTAAGAACAGTATTTCTTATTCCTACAGAAATGTTAACTTGGTACATACTTTGCTTTCACTTTGTCTTTTAGACTGTAATCCTGTATCTTCTTACCTAAGAATAAGCACCGTTGAGTTCATGGGTACTTACTTTGAACAGACAGTGATATGACTCTCTTAAAGTTTTCAGGAATTAAGTTAAAACAATAACACTTGAACTGGTGTGACTTTCTGGCACACAACTTCCACCCCGTCACACCAGCTGCCTCTATTGCGGTAGCAACAGCTTCTGTCTTCCAATGTGATGCAAACTGCTACCTAATGCTAACTTTACAAACATACAATTGAGTTAGGTTATAAAAAAAACTACTTTGTAATTTTAAACCTGAAAATTCCAGTAACTCCTTCAACTCTCAAGCAAGTTCCTTTTAAGTCTGTTTAATAGGAGAATGCACAAAAAATTATTTGTGCATATATTTCAATAGAGGGTTGTCCTCTGTACGAAAGAAGTTATATTCCTTGTTTTTTTCCATTATCGTATGAAATATACTCATAGAGTCCTGCAGTGATTTCATGCTCTTTATTGCAGCTTGTAAAACAGTGACTGAATTTCCCCCCAAACCTCAGGCTTTTTTATACATTATTTACACAATGAGTCCTGTCTGATTGGCTGATTCTGCTTCCCTCCTGGAGCCTGATTGGGCTGCTACTGCAGGCCAATCAGTTGTTGCATTCTACGATCCTACTTACCTGTTGTTCTAGGATCCAAGCTTAGTACAGTGGTACCTCGGGTTAAGTACTTAATTCGTTCCAGAGGTCCGTTCTAAACCTGAAACTGTTCTTAACCTGAAGCACCACTTTAGCTAATGGGGCCTCCTGCTGCCGCTGCACCACCGGAGCACGATTTCTGTTCTCATCCTGAAGCAAAGTTCTTAACCTGAGGTAATATTTCTGGGTTAGCGGAGTCTGTAACCTGAAGCGTATGTAACCTGAAGCGTATGTAACCCAAGGTACCACTGTACATAACATCATACATTGGGTTCTTTTTGTGTACTGTATTCCAAAACTGCCTTCTGATTTAACATGGGGAGTGTCTAAGTGTCTGGAGCTGACACATTAAGATTTTACAGCTTTTTTTCATCCATTCAATCTTGTCCCTCTTTTCGTAACCAAGGGGACGAAACTGCACATGCACCAGGGGCCTGTCCAAAGTGGATAACAAGCTCAGCAGGTTATTGACTTTTGTTCTTATAAAAATACAGAGTCATTTTGAATTCCCAAATCTGGGAAGCATAGGAATAATGTAATAAACATAGGGATAATGTAATAAGCATTCCAATCTGAGTTGAGTTTTAAGATGTGAGTGAATAACCAGTGTTTTAGCCATGTGCACAGTGAGCTCTGTTCTGTTGCTGATTTCCTCCCCTTTGCCATTTAGTTTTGTCTGTCTCACTACGCAATTGTCATGCTGAAGTTTAGACTGCATTAATCATTGTCACGTGTTGTACCACTGGGGCACTTGCACAACTGCATTGCCATGACAAATGCAGGAAGAGGATTAGCAAAACACTCTACCTGTGGTTTGCATTGTGCTTCTGAAATGTTAAGTGCTGGTTGTAGTGTGCTGCCAGGAGCTTCTAGATGGGGATCAGTTGCTGAAAAATAAGAAAAGCCCACATTTGTTGACTTCTAACACTTCACTTTCATTTATAGGGCCATTTGAGTTTTCCATGTTTGGGGAGGGGCATTTTACACACATAGATACCCACAGTGAATGTTATGTGGAAGAAACCATCACGTCTGCACACTGGTGGTCTGTTAATTTTTAGCCATCCCTCCACGAACTTCTAAGGGAAGAGTACTGGTGAGTTTGATGAAGTCATTTCCCCAAATGGAGGAAAAACAAACAAACAGAAATGTACTGAATGTGTTTAGATTTCAGTTTAAGGCTGACTTAATTTTCTTTTGACAAAGAAAAGCACTTTCTTGAATGAAATAGATACTGTGTGTATTTACCTGAGGCTTGTAGAAATAGCTTATATGACTGGGCTGGCTCCGTAAACCCCAAGATGTCTGGCTCAGCAAACTTTAAATATGAAGAGGTCTGCAAATGTGGGACAGCAGCTTAGGCTAGGCCATCCAGCTATCTTGGCCTGCAAAAACAGAAAGAGAGAAGCATTTTTTTTTCCTGGGATGGAAAGAAGTGCCATAGAAAGTGATTTACTTTCTTTAGGATTTAGAGAAAGCTCGTCCCTTTGAAACTCATCGATATTTAAATCCTAGTCCAAAACAGATTGTGTAAACAAGAAGCAATATAAAAAGTGTTCAGCTAAAATTTGGCTTCAGGATGTCTGTTGTCCATGCACTTCTGAAGCATCTGGGACTTTAGAACTTGTCTTTAAAATATCTTTCACGTAATGATGGTACCTATTCTGCACTTTCGCTATGACTGTTTAAGTAGTTTCTTTTTAAACACTTTTTCTAATTGCATGGATAAGTGACCTTGCTTGTGGAGCATGCTATATGTTGACAGAGTGCATTACTTCATTTTGCCTCGTTGGCAACTTGAGATCTTAAGAAAACAATACTGAGGTTACTCTCATTCTGCTATCCTTGGAATGTTGCTTGGATTTTAATTTAACTCTGTCGCTGCATGATACCCACACGGAGAGTTGCTTTTTCAAAGGCAGTAGAAATAAAACGCCTGAAATCAGGAAAGCAAAACTACCGCCATTTTTTACTTTCCCCACCAGTAAGAGGTCTTGTAGCACTTATGTTTTTGCATTACCAATTACATATTTTAGGACCACTAGAAGAATAAATGAGAAAGTAAATGGCCTCCCTTCCTTGCAACATCTTGCAGCTGTTCTGCAGAGCAGCTTCAGTGACTGAATGTAAGCTTCATTTAATTTTTCTTTTAAAGGCACAGCTCTCAGAATTCAGTCTGGCAATCTATCTGTGTTCTGGCTTTGCTTGAGTACTCAAATTATTATTCCCAAAACTTTCCCTTGAGACTATTATTCAGAGGAAGAGGGCAGGGGAAGCGAAGGAATCAAAGCCAGTGGGAGCTAGATTCTTGCTCATGCTTATCTGTGGCCAGTGTGCCAAGATTTTTAACTCTTCGCAGTTTATATTTAGTTCTATAAGCTCATTTGCCAACAGTGATGACTGTAGTCAAAAAGTCATGTTTTCCCATTGTATGCAGTAAAATAGTTTCTTTGAACACTAGGTCACTGAAGTACTGTAACTTTGACACAATTCAGATTAACTACTTTTCATTGCAACCCCTATGCATGTATGTCTACTGAAAAGCAAGTCCCATTCAATTCAACTGGACTTTCTCCCAGGGAAGTAGGTATAGGTTTACAATTATTCTAACTTTGACTTGTACAGAGGATGTTCCTGGTAGATTACGCAAGCTTTGAATAATTAAGATAATGTGAAGGCCGCTGCACAGAGTTTGGAGTTCTGTTGACAATGAGATCATGTTTAAGGATTGGGACAAGAAATGACACTTAACTTGTTTTTTTTTTAAAAATAATATTTATTATTTTCCCAAAAACTTAAACACTAAAAAGACAATACAATACAATACATTAAACTAACAGAACAAAACAAAACAAAACAAAACAAAAACAATAAAATAAATCAAACAATTTCATTATCCCATCTTTCATTCACTTATTTCCACAACCTCCTCACACCTCCCTTTTTGTATTCCACTTCTGTTAATTATTTCAGCAATTCCTTTCCATCTTCCTCTGTTTTCTATCCTATAATTAGCTTAACTCATTCTAACCTTATTTTCCCCTTTAATGCTCTAATAATCTATCTGTACTTAATTCCTTATAACATTTCTACTAAAGCAATATAACTTCATTCCAACATTTTTCTAACATTCATTAATTTTACAGTATTTCTGTAAATAGTCTTTAAATTTTTTCCAATCTTCTTCCACTGACTCTTCTCCCTGGTCTCAGATTCTGCCAGTCATTTCTGCCAGTTCCATATAGTCCATCAACTTCATCTGCCATTCTTCCCGGGTGGGTAAATCTTGTGTCTTCCAATATTTTGCAATGAGTATCCTTGCTGCTGTTGTTGCATACATAAAGAAAGTTCTATACTTCTTTAACACCAATTGGCCGACCATGCCCAGGAGAAAGGCCTCTGGTTTCTTCAAAAAGGTATATTTAAATACCTTTTTCATTTCGTTATAAATCATCTCCCAGAATGTCTTGATCCTTGGGCATGTCCACCAAAGGTGAAAGAATGTGCCTTCAGTCTCATTACATTTCCAACATTTATTGTCGGGCAAATGATAAATTTTTGCAAGCTTGACTGGTGTCATGTACTACCTATAAATCATTTTCATTAAGTTTTCTCTTAGGGCATTACATGCCGTAAATTTCATACCTGTGGTCCATAACTGTTCCCAGTCAGCCATCATTATGTTATGTCCAACATCTTGTGCCCATTTAATCATAGCTGATTTCACCGTTTCATCCTGAGTGTTCCATTTCAACAGCAAGTTATACATTTTTGACAAATTCTTAATTTTTGAATCTAACAATTCTGTTTCCAAGTTTGATTTTTCCACCTGGAAACCAACTTTTTTGTCCAAATTGTATGCCTCCATTATTTGATAATAATGGAGCCAATCTCGCACTTTGTTTTTCAATTTTTCAAAGCTCTGCAATTTTAATCTGTCTCCATCTTGTTCCAGAATTTCCCAATATTTCGGCCATTTGGCCTCCATATTGAGTTTTTTCTGTGCCTTCGTTTCCATTGGTGACAACCATCTTGGGGTTTTCTTTTCTAACAAATCCTTATATCTTATCCAAACATTAAACAATGCTTTTCTGACAATATGATTTTTAAACGCTTTATGTACTTTTACCTTATCGTACCACAAATATGCATGCCAACCAAATACATTATTGAAACCTTCTAAATCCAACACATCAATGTTTTCAAGAAGCAGCCATTCTCTCACCCAGCAAAAAGCCGCTGATTCATAATAAAGTTTGAAGTCTGGCAGGGCAAATCCACCTCTTTCTTTAGCATCAGTTAATATCTTAAATTTTATTCGAGGCTTCTTGCCCTGCCAAACAAATCTGGAAATGTCTTTCTGCCACTTCTTGAAACAATCCATCTTATCCAAAATTTGTAATGTTTGAAACAAAAACAACATCCTTGGCAGCACATTCATTTTTATCACAGCAATTCGGCCTAACAATGATAACTTCAAATTTGACCATATTTCTAAATCCTTTTTCACTTCAATCCAACATTTTTCATAATTATCCTTAAATAGATTCACATTTTTAGCAGTCATGTTAAACCCTAAATATTTCACTTTCTTAACCAATGTTAGTCCTGTCTCTTCCCGAAACTTCTCTCTCTCATTCACAGTTAAATTTTTCTCTAAGACCTTAGTTTCCGTCTTATTCAGCTTAAAACCTGCTACTTGTCCAAATTCTTGAATCAGTTCCAATACCCTTTTTGTACTGGATTCTGGCTCCTGTAAGGTCAATACTAAATCGTCAGCAAATGCTTTCAGTTTATACTGTTTAGCCCCCACTTGAATACCTTTGACCTCTTGGTCCTTTCTTATCATGTTTAACAAAACCTCAAGGACCAATATAAAGAGCAGTGGAGAAATTGGGCAACCTTGTCGTGTCCCTTTCTCAATCTTAAACTCTTCTGTCACTACATTGTTCACAATTAATTTTGCCTTTTGTTCTGAATAAATTGCACCTATACCATTTTCAAAACCTTGACCTACCCCCATCCCCTGTAGATTCTTCTTCATAAAGCTCCAGGAGATGTTGTCAAAGGCTTTCTCCACGTCCACAAATATCAAGACAGCCTTAGTATTGATATTCACTTGAAGTTTTTCTAGAATATTAATTATATTCCTCATATTGTCAGACAAATGTCTGCCTGGGAGAAAGCCCGCTTGATCTTTATGAGTTTCTTCTACTAATACCTTTTTTAATCTTTTAGCCAAAATGTCTGCAAAAATTTTATAATCCACATTTAACAGCGATATGGGGCGGTAGTTCTTAAGCTGTGTCTTTTCAGTCTCTGTTTTCGGTATAAGTGTAATGTAAGCTTCCTTCCACGACTCTGGTGCCTTTCTCCCTTCCAATATTTCATTGCAGACTTCCTTCAATGGTTGTATTAACCATTCTTTCAAAGATCTGTAATATCTTGAAGTCAAACCATCTGGTCCTGTAGATTTACCTAATTGCATGTTCTGGATAGCCCCTTCCACCTCCTGATCTGTTATTTTATAATTCAACATTAGTTGTTTTTCCTGAGAGATTTTGTGTAGTCCATTTATTTTCAAAAATCGACCAGTGTCCATTTCTTTCTGCTTCTCCTGTGTATAAAGTTGTTTAAAATACCTCTGGAAACACTTCCTAATCTCCACTGGGTTCTGTATATTTTTTCCTTCCACTTCCAAATTTGTAATAGTATTGAGTTTTTGTCTTTTTTTCATTTGCCAGGCCAACAATTTTCCACATTTATTTGCCAATTCAAATGTCTTTTGCCTCATCTGTTTAATCTTCCATTCTATTTCCTGATTCATCAGCTTTGCATATTGTACTTGATATAACTTTATCTCTTTCAGAATCTCCTGTGACTTTGGTTTTGCTCTCAGTTTCTTCTCTCCTTCCTTTATCTTTTCCAGAATTTTATCCTTTTTTTCATTCTGAGTTCTCTTCTTAATTGCATTCTGTTGTATTAGGAATCCTCTCATAACCGCTTTGCTTGCATCCCAAATTACTCTTTTTTCCGCTGTGGTATTCATGTTTATCTCGAAATAATCTCTTAGAGTTTTTTGGGCCTTCTTGGTCACCTCTTCATTCCTAAACAAAGTGTCGTTCATCCTCCATCTAAAGGAACCAATTGGCGTCAATTTCATTTCCATCTTCACCGCATTATGGTCAGAACAAGTTTTGGGGCAAATCTCCACTTTGCTGATTTTCGGAGCCAATCCCCTGGTTACCCAGATTTGGTCAATTCTTGTCCATGTCATTTTAGCCTCAGAGAAGAAAGTTCCCTCTCTTCCCAGAGGGTTCTTCATTCTCCAAATATCAACTAAGTCCATATTTTCAGCCATGTCAAAAAAAGTTTTTGGTAGTCTACCATCTTTGGTGACTACCTGTCTCTGTGCCTTATCCATATTTGTAGACACCACTCCATTCATATCTCCCATCAAGATCATATTATAGTCCATATAATCCATCAGAGTCTCATGTAACTTCTTAAAGAATTCCGATTTCCCTTCGTTTGGTGCATAAATGCCTAGAATCAAGAATTTCTCTCCTTGTGATTGAATTTCAATTGCTACAAATCTTCCTTGATCGTCTTTAAAAAATAATTTCAGTGATAGGCTCTCCTTTGCATAAAGGACCACTCCTCTTTTTTTAACTTTGTCTGATGAAATGAATTCTTGGCCCAATCTTTTATTACTCAATATCTTCCTGTGTAGCCTTATCACATGTGTTTCTTGTAAACAAATCAAGTCCAAATGTTCTTTTTTCAATAAATGAAAGACTCCCCGCCTTTTTTCTGGGGAATTTAGTCCATTCACATTCCAGCTCAAGACCTGCAATGCCATCTTTTAATTACGCTAATGTTCCTCCAACTGCACCCAATGCTTGCTCTTCTTCTGTTGGTGGTAATGGTGGCATGTTCACTGGGGAGTCCAATCCAAAAGACAGTGTTGATATATCCAATATTCCCCTATTTGGTGATCTTCTATCCAATGCTCTCGGCTCTAGTCCTCTATCTGGTGATCTTCTGTCCGATACTCTTGGCTCTTTTCCAAATCCCTTCTGCAGATCTTCTTCGTATTTGTACAGAAACTTCACTTTATCCTCTACTGATCTTATTTTTTATTTTCCTACCTTTGAAACTGAAAGATAAACCTTGGGGAAACTCACACCTGAGGATAATTTTATTCTTTCTCAGCAGGGCAACAATATCTCCGTAGTCAGGCCTAAGATCCAAAAGATATTTCGGGACGTCTTTAAAAATTACCACTCTTGACTGTTGTACTTCTAGGTTCTTCTGGTAGTGCCAACCCAAGATTCTGTCTCTCTCTTCTTTAGTTCGAAGGGTAATCAAGCAGTCTCTTATTGTATTCTTCTCTTTTTTCCCTCCTCTTCCAAGTCTGAAGGCCCTCACAATTCTAAACTCTTCTTGTCCCAAGTCCAAGTCCCAAAAGCCAGCAAATTCCTGTGTAAGAAAGTCTATCAAACTTTCCTTCTCGAATTCAGGTAGGCCTCTGATCCTCAGATTCGTCTGTTTTTCTTTAAGTTCAATCATAGCAAGCGTTAACTTATGTTCATCAAGTTGCCTCTGTAGGGCGAAATGACACTTAACTTGGTCCTTACTTAATTATTCTTAAGTATGGAAGAATGAAAGGTGAGGTTCACATGGTTAACTTCTAATAAAGTCGTCATGATGTTACTGTTGCTCTTGCTGCTTCGTGATGTATTTGATGCTGGATGATGTAGTTTTCTATAAGGCAGAAGATTGCCTTAATTTAAAGCCTCATGTCATCCAGAGGTTCAGTCACTAGTCCAGACACCAG